AATATAATCTAAACTTAGAATTTAAGCATAATTGATAATTAATTGAACTAGTTTTAGTTGGAAATCATAAATGTATGGATTAATAAATTGTAATATTAATGCTAGGTTGCAAATAGCAAATATTCTTTATATAATTCAATAGGTTTTATTACTGCATAATGTGTATGCACTGCCCTATGCGAAACTAGGTCACTACTGCTTATCTTTATCAGTGCTATCTGCATAGTACAATACTGGTTCAATACTACTTCTCTATTGTAGAATATAGCTGACGAATGTATGTGTACAGTAACACTTGGAGGAATTCTAACAAAATCAACATTCTCATGCAAATCTCAAATTGAAATATTTATTCAAAAAGAAACTGGTATGAAAACTATTTGTTCAATATTTGCAAATTGCAAATTCAAATGTCCTGCAACTCAATCTATTAATTTCAGAGTATTTGAGGGAATGGAAATTTGTGAAATTATTTTATATTAGTAAATAATTAATTATTACTTGAAATATGTAATTCAATATACAATACAGATATTCTATTTTTAGTCACTGGAATGATTATCTTTAATAATAAAGATTTTTTTTCTTGAACATTTATTTAACAATACAATAAAATGAAATGGCAATTGTCACTTTGTAAATCAACATATTCCTCTATTTTCGCTCAAAATGACATTTTTCAATCTATGGAAATTTTTCCAATATTTTCCCAATTTCTATCCAATAATTTCCACTTAACATAGACATTGATAAATTCAAAGCTTTAACATGATTTGATGACGTAATAAGACTTGCAAATAATTATTAATCCATCTCCCATTCCAATATTATTACTGAAATCTAGATTTTCAATAGAAGAAAATTTTTCCAATGTATTGCCAATAGTTATCCAAGATTGGCATCACTAAAACTGCAAGGGGCGGTTTTAACAACTCCCATAATGGATGTGGTAGAAAACGGCCATAAATCTATGGTTTTACCATAACCCTAACCCAGTCCTTGTTTTTGCCTAACCTTTTTGATTACAGAATCCAACAGAACTCATTATAAGTGTTATATTACTGTAATGAAAACAATCTAACATATGTTTTGGACCTAATACGAGGGACTTCCAAGAACCAACAATTTGATTTAACTCTAGAAATGTAAACTGGTAAATAAGTAGCTGAACTAGTGTATTAGAAAATAAATTATACAAAATTCCAGAAATGACTTCCGGTTCTGAATACAGTATTCCTTATAGTTTACAAAAGTAATATTTTAAATGAATGTCACACAGACTTAATGTTTAGGTATGATATTACAAAAAATGTTGTGTAAACTGTTTTTAAAAATTTTTTTTATACTAACCACAATTATCATTTATCCTGTAATGATCATATTGAAAAGAAGGTAATAATTCGTTAGGATGTGTAATTATTGATATTGAATTGAAAAAGCAAAGACTTGTAAAATTTTCATATTCAATTGATCTTTAAATGAAAAATGAAGAAATTTTCACTGATTTTGTTATCTGTTTTTAAATAATTTAAATTTTTAAATTTATTAACTTGCAAAGCTTATCCCTTTTGCAGTATTTTAAACAATTCTCCACACTTGTTACACCAGAATATTCATTATCAAATTCAGAAATTGGCATTGACCAACCAAAAATTGCCATACCCGGATAATGTTCATACATACATTCTATTTTATTTTTTTTTTAGAAAAAACCTTTTTTTTCTCAAAAATTAAAAGAAATAAGACAAACCTGTAGAAGAATTTGAAATTATTCGAAAACTTGTACTTAACGCAATTATTTGAAGAAAATAAATTGCTTGATACATTCTTGTATACTGACAGATAGACTTTGAAAACCTTTTTTCACCAAAAGTGATTAGATCTTTTCATCAATATGATTGTGAAACTCTTCATTTTGTCATTCTAACCCTGACAAAAAATCCTTTTCTCTTTCTAAAATTTGAAACTATACTATTTTATTGATAAATTGAACAGAAAATTACAAAATGACAAAAACAAATTTCTTTGTTTATAAAGATTTAAGTGTAGAAAAAAATTTGAAGAATTAATATTTTGTCTCTTAACTAGAACAACAATTTTTAATAATGCTTGTACACATACATTCGTCAGCTATATTCTACAATAGAGAAGTAGTATTCAACAGTATTGTACTATGCAGATAGCACTGATAAAGATAAGCAGTAATGACCTAGTTTCGCATAGGGCAGTGCATACACATTATGCAGCAATAAAACCTATTAAATTATATAAAGAATATTTGCTATATGCAACCTAGTATTAATATTACAATTTATTAATCCATACATTTATGATTTTGAACTAAAACTAGTTCAATTAATTATCAATTATGCTTAAATTCTAAGTTTAGATTATATTGACTATTCAACAGTATTGTATACACAATACTGTTCTTTTTAACATGCATTAATCAGATATACTTCCTCCTTATATGCTGATGCTAAATTTACTAACTCAATCAATTGAATATCATTATTAAGGTAGAATATAAAAACCATCAAATATACAATCTACATGTTTTCTTCATTGTTCGACTTGTCCTACTAAAATTGTTACATCTTATGCAACTCTCCAACCTGAGAAATTCAACTATTATTTAGAAGAGGAAAACAATAAAAACATGACCATATTTACAACTTTTCTTTGTCTTCAAATGTTACTTTTGTTTTTGTGAACATTGAAATTTGTGAACTATCAACCCTTAAAAGAGTATATAAACCCTACGAAATTAACAGTTGATAGTTCAGTTTTCTAACCGTCAGCTAGTTGTTTAAACTAGCTTGTTTAGAACTAGAAGCTCATCTTACTCAATACATATTCTTTGGACGAAATACTGGTGTTTTGTTAATTAATTTCTACCAAAATTGCCTTTGTTAGACTATTTGTGGATGAACTTTAAAGGTTCTATTTGTTTGAGTACTTTGGCAAGTTGGTAAATGATTGGAAAGGACAATTACAGTTGTGACGAACCAGAAATTCCTACAATTACAATACAACAAAGTACAATGCTAGAAGAATAAGGGAGAATAGACCTCAACAATATTAAACAATCCAAATGTTGTGGATATCTTCTGTCCATGATAAAACATTTTATATGCTTTTTACAATGGAATGTAATGGACATGTCCTGATTTGGAATGAACTCAATCAATCCCAAATAACTTTCTAAAAGAATTGATTCAAGCAGTTGAACTATAATTCAGAATTGATCAACTAATTGTTTTCGAAATTAGATCATTCATTCATTCATAGCATTACTTTTCAAATCTAGATCCTCAATACAACTGAATTAACAAATCTGTTAGGAATGCACAGTACTCAAATTAGCAATGTTCACCAATAGACTCTAAAATCAGAATTCTCAAGACTATGAAAATAGACAATAAAAGAACACATTTGATATATCTATCAAATCATTATCATAATCAACAATGATGTAGCTGGTGTCAATTCCAATCATAAGATTGATGATCTGGGAGAGAAGAAGATTGAAGGGGTTCTGAATCAATATAATCGATATCGGGTAGTTCCTTGATTGGATCTATTGTGAACATTAGGGTTACTTTCCTGATAAAGGAATATATTAGGTATGAATGAAAAGTTTCAGTCACTGTGTGTTTTTTGTTAGAAATATTTGATGAATGTGGTTAATTTTTGTGTATGTTAAAGCCTAAAGTATAAGCTACAAATATTGATAATTTAATTTTTCAATAGTCCCCTCCTTTTTCTATACAAGCCTGCCATTTGCTAGGAAGTAGAGTGATGCCGTTCTGGTAAAATGAGGTTGGCTTTCTCCTCAGAAAATCTTTGACATCTGTCTTCAATTCCTCCAAATTGTCATAATGGGATCCTCTGATATGGTCCTTCAATCTCCCAAAAAGATAATAGCCAGAGGGAGCCAAATCAGGACTGTAGGCTGGGTGAGGGCATAATGACCACCCTTGATCTCTTATGAAATCTGTTGTGTAGAGACTTGCATTATCATGATGTAGTATCATTTGTTTTCCAGGTCTAATTCTATGCAACCTCTTCCTTAGTCTCTTTAGGGTCTCAACATATTGTATTGAGTTGACTATTTCTCCATACTCCATGAATTCAATGTGGACTAAACCAGAATAGTCCCAAAAAACTGAGCACATCAGTTTTTCTGCTGACTTGGCCATTCTAAGCTTCTTGTCAGGTGGAGATGATGTGTGTTTATAAGTCAAAGAAGACCTTTTAGATTGTGGATCATAGAGGTGTACCCAGGTTTCATCTCCAGTCACAATTTTTTCTAAAAAGTCTCTTCCTTCTGCCGTGTATCTTTCAAGTAGCTCCATACAATGACTCACCCTCACCTGCTTCTGGTCCAGATTGAGAGCATAAGGAATCCATTTTGCACAGATCTTTCTGTATCCTAGCTCCTTTATAATTTTCCCTACAGTCTGTTGACAAATTTCTATTTGTTGGGTGATTGCTCTCTGAGAAATGGTCCGATCTTCTCTGATAAGCCTGTCAATTTCTTCTCTATTCTGACCTGTTACAGCTGTGGTTGGACGACCAGATCTTGCCAAATCTTCAAAATTTTTTCTTCCTTTTTTTATGTCAGATACCCACCTCCTAATTGAACTTTCACTCAGAGTTTCATCCCCACAAAAGCTTTTTAACCGCTTATAAATTTGTCTCGCAGACACCTTCTCATGCACTAAAAATGCTGTGATTGGTCATTGATCCGAATGTGTGCACATGACTTGCAGTTGCTTATACCAAAATAAATTTGTAATGCCTCAACAGAATCGAATGAAAGTTTGCACAGTGAAAGTTTACTAATTTCCTAAGATTATTGGAAAGTATCAATGATATTAAATGATTTAAAATTACAGCACAGTGACTGAAACTTTTCATTCATACCTAATATATATATATATTGGAAATAATGAGTCACCTTTTGTAATAGAAAAAAGGGAATACACAGTTTTGACTATATATATATATATATATGTCCAACTATAAAAATCAACACTAGTTTTTTTCTTAATGCACATTCAGTGTTTTTTTTCTGTTTAGAAGATTTGTGTTGTTTTCAAAAATATTATTTCTCACAGTATGGATAATAGAATTGCTGATAAAATGAATAGAGATAGATCTTGTTCTCCCCCTCCAAATTATGCTAGTGTTATAGCCAACACTAATGATATAGTTGTTACCAATCAACAACAGAGTTGGATAATAATACAACAACCACAACACCCATATATTCCTGATTATATGGTAAAGTCCAATGATTATTAATTATTTTTATATTGTCATTTTTAAAAATTATTTTTTTTATTTTTTTTTGTAGATTTTAAGTATAGTTTCCATATTTTTTTGTTTCTTTTTTGGAATTATTTCATTAATTCTAAGTATTGGAAGCAGAGGTGCAAGAGAACAAGGATGTTATGAAAAAGCAAAAAGACAATCTTCTTTAGCAAAATCTTTTGCTGGTATTGCAATCGTTATTGGAGTAAGTTTTGCTATTTTTGTTCTGCTTATTGCATTTTCAAATTGAAATTACATTCAATTCTGTTTAAATAACTTTCAACTATAATATGAGTTAATTATTGAAAATTCAAGCTAATCCAAAGAGCTATTGGTGATATGACTAAGATTTATCTTATTGATAATAAATAGGTCTGAGTAAATGGAATTATATACAAAAGTTGATTGACCCTGATGGGGGTCAACTGTCCGGATCCCAAAAAAATGCATGTCAAACTTGTTACATCTTAAACTTGCTAATTTAGAACTAGAAACTCATTTACTCAATACATATCCTTTAAATGAAATACTGCCATTTTGCTGATTAATTTCTACCGAAATTACATTTGTTAAGACTACTTTTGTTAAAATTACAAATATTACTGGTAAAGTCTTATTCAAACCTGAATTTAGTAATACCCACTTTTTTTTATAAATTTCATTGGACAGCGACTACCTTAAAGTTTGAGGAAGTAAATTTGTAAGAGGATTAATACTGTCAATAAAGTATTGCAATTATTGCAAACCATTGAATCAGATTTTAGAGAACTTTACCTGGCCAAGTATGAACCATAGGACATTGAATCACTGGGATCAGGTGAAATATTCTCATAATTACCCTAAATGTCTCATTTTGACAAAGTACATCCCATTTGTTTTTTACATCTTTGAAAAAAACAAATGAATACAATACAAGTTCAATTTTTAGAAAGATATGTTGATTGAATGAATTGACAATTTCCCTGTTTATTCTGAGTCAGCATTTTTTCTTACTGCTTAGATATCCTCTTGTTAATGGTTGCGTCCTCTTTGTCGCTACTTTTTCTTGATTTATCAATTCTTTTGAATTCAATTTAGTAGAATGAATTTGTTTTATAAGGTTTTTTGTCATAGTTTTAACAGTTAAACTCATACCATTTTCTGACAGATTTTCTAAAATTTTCAAAGAATCTTTCTCCTGTAGTAATTTTTTACAATCTGCATTTGAGATAAGAGTTTTGAGACACTCTACAGCTGATTTTTGTTCAAATGAATTTAATGCTTCTTGAAGAATAACCAACAAAAATGGAATATATCTTGACATGAGTTGTTTATTTTCATCATTTACTGCTAGATGATTGATTGCTATAAGACTGTCACTGAGTGGATATAAGCTATTATCAAGATGATTTTTAGACTTTAAACAATAATTCAAATTATTTTGGATTTCTGAAGTATTTATATCATTCATCTTAATCATTTCAATTTCATCTTTATTGATAAGATATGATAGAATTGTTAAACACCTAGTATCAAGAGATGTTTTCCAATCATCTTTTAAATTTTCCCTTAATTTACAAATTATTTCTTTACTTCCAAAATCACTTATTGAATCTCTTAAATCCAGATTAAATCTTAATACATTATCCAAAATTGTTAAATAACCAACTAATAGACGCCTGAATTGTGTGTCGCATGAATCAAATGTTTCATTAGTAAGATTTTTTGATGAAAATCTCCAATTTGTTAATAAAACTTTAACAATGGACTCAACAACTCCATCTTCATAACACTTTCTACTGAATTCTGCTGAACAGTTTGTTCCATTCCAAACCAAATTTTGAATATCTCTTAAAGGTGAAAATATATTTTCAATATCACTTGCTAAAATTGTTTCGTGCGCAAAGATATATAACTTTGGCACTTCGCCAACAACATTTAAATCGGACATTATTACTTTTCTTCTATTATGGTCAAGTCTGTATATCATTATCATTGTGAGAAAAATATCATTTCTATTTTCTGATTTTTCGTCCATCCATTCATATATTTCCATTCTTTTTGCATCATACATTTTATCTCTTATCAGCTTTTTTACTACTTCAACATCCATATTACAAAATGGATTAAATGACAAATTTGATAATTTGCCTGAAATATCATATTTAGGTTTTTCACATTCCAAAATGTCGGATAATTTCTTTGACGCCATTGTTGTACTTCTCTTTTGGTAACCAAGTATGGTTGCTAGGATACCAATAATGCGCCTCTATGTTTACACCAGTTTTAACACTTTTACTGATAGTTATAAAGGAAAATGTATTAATTAGTCAGGAAGAATAACTATTAAGGAAAACTATTGATTATTGCAACATTTGATATTTAAGAGGGTGGATTTGGAACAGTTTGTCACAATATTAAAGTTTTACAGCCATCTTTAGATCACAATTAGTTATTTCTTTAACAACTGGTAGAAATTTTTAAAACAGTTGTAACTTGGAAAAATTTTTTAAAGCAAAAAATATTTAATTATATTTATCCTTGAATGATATTCAAATTCAATATTGACTTGCCATACATCCACTATTTTTAAATATATGGACATATCAACTTTATGAATAAATAAAAGCCATTATTCTACTAGAAAAACTACAGTAAACTTGATAAATGGAGCAAGATGGGTGGATTACATGCTTCCTTTTAAGAATATAAGGTTTATGAATAGCAAACCATTTTTCCACTGCTATTGATATTGAAGTCAAAAAAGAATATGTTAGGTTCAAGTAACAAAACATAAAGAAATTGTTAGTTTGAAGCAGATGATGCTATAATTTTATAAAAATAGATATAAATTTTTATGATTACATTAAAACAAAAAAAGTCTATTCTTTCAGTATTACTTGTTATGCTTTAATTGTGAGTATTTTTGAGCATTCAGACTTTCAAGTCTAATCAACCACTACATGTGAAATAGGTAAAAAGAATTTCTCTATTCTATATTGTTTACAACTACATATCTAATCTTGAATATTTGTATTACAACTTCCAAAAGAGTTCTGAGTGCTGTTTAAAGTATAATAGAACTAAACAAAAAAGCGTAGCCCTATGATGAGGTTCCAGGATGTATTTGATAACAAGTGCATAATAACTTGTTACAAATATCTTTATCTCTCAGCTGGCCAATGTCAGAGTATTATTGTCAGTGTGCACATAGATATAATGATATATCAATACTTAGACTTTAGATATAAGGGTACATTAGAAAGGCTTCTATTTCATAGGGATTAGAATGGTGAAACTATAGAAATACTTCTATTTCGTAGGGATTATAGTGGTGGAACTTTAGAAACACTTTTATTTTGTGGAGTTAGCTTTCAGTACTTTAGAAAGAACTCTATTTCATAAGAAATAGACTGTTTGACTGTAATAGATGGTGGCTAGTTGGCAATGAATGAAGTAACAAAGAATATGGAAAAGATGCATGTCAAACACCAGATACTGATGAAGCAGGCCTGTTTGCTAATCCTAGGATTATATTTTATATGTGATATAACAAGTCTTTTATATTTTTGATACATAAGAATTATGAGACTGTCAGATTTCAACTTTGTAATCCTCTGACCACTTGAACCCAAGCTTTCAAAATGTATAAAAGGAATTTGTTAAGACTATTTGTGAATGAGACCCTATTCTGGAGCAAAGATACTTGGGCCTTTAAGAGGAACTTTCAAACAGTTTGTGAATTGAACCTTTGGGACACAGAGGAAAAAAGAATTCAAATGCTGAGAAAATACACTACTGGAAGAGCCAGAGATGTTATTGAAAGCTTACCCTCCAAGTCAAATGAAAATGAAATTTGGGATGCATTGGATGAAGAATTTAATCCAGATCCTATGGCTTTTAAAAAAGATATTGATAGATTGAGACAGTTTAATGATGAAACTGTTGATAGTTTTATTAGAAGAAGTAAAGAACTTGTGGAAAAATTCTTACCATTTAATAACACAGAAATGGCTTGTGTTACAGAAAGGTTAGAGAGCTTCAACTGTTAACTGTATTCAGGAATGGTCTTAGAGGAAAAATTGTTAATCATGTAGAAAAAGATAGAAAGATCAGATCAAGGGATCAGTATATTAAACTGGCAAAAAGAGCAGAGGTATTTTTAAACAATGCAAGGAAAGAAGATGAAAAGGAATTCAAACAATTTAAAAGATTTCACAACAATCCCATTAATTCAAACATAAACTTTACAAAAATTGATTTCAACCACATCAAAGAATGGGAAACATAGGTATGGAAAGAGGCACCTTTAACAGACTAATACTTACTGAACCTGAGGAACCCAATGAAAGAGAAATTTCTAAAGGAACAATGACAATTTTTAACCTCAATGAGGACAAAATTGCACATTTCAAGTGCACCTCTCAAGTAAAAGGGAGAGAAGATTTTCAATTTTGAATAAAGAGACACAATTGAAGAGAAGTCATTGTATTATGTGATACAATAACCCTTATGTCCTTTATTACAGAAAAAGAAATCAAGCTAATGGACCACAAATTCATCAAGATAGAAATCACTGACTTACCAATCATCACTTCAGCAGATGGAAAAGCTTTAAAGACTAAAGGAAAACCAAGATTGAACATTGAGCTTGCTGGAAGAATTATGAAACAAGAATTTTTCATTATGGAAAAATTGGATATGGCTATAATACTTGGTTGTGACTTCCTACAAAATTCTGGAGCCATTATTAATTTTGCAACAAAATAAGTTTTCCTTCCATTCTTTATTAGAAGATGGGAACCAGTTAAGAAGTTTATGCAACAAGGCCAAAGTCAACAAACAAAACATGGAAAACAAGCAATTATGGAGAAAATAACTGTTGGAATGTTGGAAAAACATTTTCAAAATTACCAAAACTCAACTGAAGATGTTGGCAATAAAACCTATTCAGATAATGATTAAGGAATCACTATAAATTCATCTGAAGAAGAGACTGAAACTACATCAGAAGAATTAGATAAAGAATGGAAATGCAAACTCAATGCAAAGAGTTGGTGGATGAGATAACTATCAAAGTTAAAGGAGAGTAAGAGAAAAGAACAAGAAATTCTCATAAGGTCCTAAAGGATATATTAGACTCATATTCAGTGTCAAGGTATATTCCTCCTCCTGAAAATAAACACATCTATGCCGATACCTCAGACATTGCCTATGGTGCGGCAGTATATGGTGTCCATAAAGGAAAGGGCTATCTTTTAGCTTTATCCTCCTGTTCTTTTTTCCTCACAGAGATCATCAAGTCCACAAGCAGAATTGACGGCAGCTATAAGAGCCGCCAACTTTATCAAACCCTGCTATGCTATTTTTCCAGACATACATATCAAAATTTTCATTGACAGTAAGGTTATTATCAGGTACCTAGAAAACGATGATCTAAAGTTGACTAAATATATTCATCATTCGGTAAAATTCATCTTGAATACTAAGACAATTGTGAGCTGGTATCTAACCATCTCAGAAGATAATCCCGCAGATTTGCTGACGAAATCAAGGAAGAGGATGAAAGAAAAGGGGGATACATTTAAAGTAATACAAGTTAAATGTGACATGCCAAAAGTCACAATCAATATGTGTGCAGTGGAATCCACATTTGAAATATTGGGAGACTGGGGAAGAAAGAGACAGACCCTGCCCTGGCTTCTAAGATTCAAATCAAATATTCAATCCCGACCATGTGACAGAGTAAAGGACCATGAGTTGAACACAAGAGAGATCAAAGCACAGAATTACGATTGTATAAATTCATTCAAAGCACAATGCCTATTCACAAACTAATCAATTTGTTTTCACTATTGGAGGACAAAAATGGGATCTATGTGACAATAGGAAGACTGGATGAGACAACTGAAAGAAAGAAGATCATCATTGATACTCGTAACCCTATTATCCTCAAGTTGATATATTTTATTTACCATGAAAAGAAACATGCATCTTTAAGGGCTATTTGGGCAAACCTGGCCAAGAAATTGCACCTCCTTTACGCAACAACAGGAATTTCTAGCGTTCTAAAAAGATGTAAAGATGGAGAGTAAGATCCAACCATTGTCAAACAAGAATGTGAGAAATTGAACAACAAATGTTGCACCCAGCTGTTTAACAGCATTCATAAGAGAACAAAATGGCAAAACAATCAATTTAAACCCAAGCTACATTCAGGAGACACCATTCTATATCTAGATCACAGATCAATATATAGATTCAAATTAGGAGAAATAACCCAAAAAAATATCTGACTGTACATATGAGATTTACACTGGTCACAGTACGATAGAGAGAGACGTCAGAGATATAATTCCCTATCTGTTGAGTGATGCTCATTCTCTTGTTCTTTCCTGGGCCAGTGTAGTTGATGGGTACATAGCCTAAATTTGGTAGCGAGCCAAATTATCTTTACATTGCTTTCAAAATTCGTTATGTCTATATGTTTTAAAACCCAACCATTTTTCAATTACCCCTTTATCATTTCTGTATGTCATTACTTATTATTCCTGCAATATTTACTGGTATATAATGGTCGACAAAAAAACCCAGACACCATAAATTTTGATAGGCTGAACATTATAAATCTTTTTCACCAGCAAACAAGATTTTTTTTTTATTTTTCAGGTATAAAATATTAGTTTAAAGTTTGATATATACATGAGTTTCTTTTAAATATCATTTAGATAAGTTTTCATATAAGTGTTTTTGTTTTCTTATTATCCATTTTTTGATGATTTTTTTCTTATTTGGGCATGAGACATTATTACTTGGACAGATGATGGTTTGGGGATTAATATTTTTATTATTTTTTAATATGACAACCCTCATTTACAGTACATTTACTAAGCCTACCTCCCATCCCTGCATAAAAATTTGGTAGCAAGTCAGGATTTTGACCAATAGCCTGGTATGAACCTTTTTTTATTTTCTCCCACAGTTCATCCCCAGATTGAAATTGTGCCCCATTGTAATCTAAATTTTTTGTTAGGTGCCACATATTTTCTATAGGGCTCAGGTCAGGGCTCTTTGCTGGCCAATCAATTGGATTGATATCATTCACTCTAAAGGCCCTCCTAGTTGCTCTTGCTGTGTGGCAGACTGCATTATCTTGTTGGAAGATGTAATTCCTGCCCATATTGAGTGATATCTCTTCACTGACAGGAAGAACATCTTCCACAACAAAACAGCTATAATTTTAGGCAGTCAATTTTTGACTTATCCTCCAAACTTCAAATACCCCATCTGAGGTTATTAATCCCCACATCATCACTCTTCTCATATTTTTAGTGACTCTAAAATTTTTTTCCACCATCTTTTGTCCATGTCCTGAAATCATCAGGCCCACTCAGAGAAAATCTGGTCTTGTCCATGAAAATCACTCTTGACCAGTCCAGATTTTCAGCAATTGTTTTGAAGCAATATTCTTTTCTTCTTGTGCAATTCTTAGGTGTGAGATCAACTCTCTGTCTAATCCTTTTTATAATTATAATTTTGCCTCTTCAGCTCTCTCTGAATGATCTTGAGACTCACATCCACCTCTAATTCTGCTAAGACCTTTCCTGCTGTCACCCTTTTTTTTATTTCGCTTAAGTCTCTTTACTATTCTTTTTATCCTGACTGTCTCTTTCTGTTAGCTTCTTTGTACAACCCCTGTTCTCTTGTTGTAGTGGCTGATCTCTCAAGTGTCACTAATGGTAGATGGTGCCATTCCCAAAGCCCTTGCAGTTGCCCTTATTTTGCCTAATTCCTCATATTTCTTAATGACCAGATTCCTAACCTCTTTACCCTATGCCATAATTAAGTAAATAGAATTTAAAGTTAACTACAGTAATTAAAATAGATCAAAAGTGATTTCTTAACTTTGAAAATTAGTTTGGTCAAAAAAAATTTCTGTTTAGGATGTTAATTTGAATCCAAAACTGGAAACAAAATGGATGTGTGGTTAATAATGTCTCATGGCCAAATAAATAAAAAATTAATTAAAATTAGTAAAAGTTTTTTTCCTACTAGTATTCACAAATATGATCATTTTGTCATTTTTTTTCAATATTACATAAATATAACCTTTTATCAATGTAAATTGCCTAAAAAAACTAATTTCGAACAAAAAAACATGTTTTTGGGGTGATTTAAAAATTGGCCTATCAAAATTTACATTGTCCAGGCTTTTTAGTCCACCACTATATACCTTAAACTTTAACACATTTTATTAGTAAAATTGGTGCAGGGTACGATTTCACTCAGGTACAGTTTCACCCATTCCCCTTTTTATTTACCTTATGGATCATTTAAATCAGCAATGCTAATCCTTTCCAGCTCATTAGTGAAATTTAAAGTTAAAAGGAGTATTTTTATTTTTAGATTGTGCAATAGAAGCAAAAATCTGCCTCTTTATTGATAGTTTTTGAATCATTCAACTTTAAGCAGAAAAAAAATATAAGAATCAACCTCTAAACCACAATTCTCAAGAAATCTTGAATGAGCCTAGCCTGCCCACTCAAAAGAATTGAAAGCACAGACTGAGTCATCAATAGAAATTGACAATATTAAATTTAGAAGTGTGACAGTTGAAATCACTGATATAGTGTAAAAAATAGAGAAAGTGTTAACAGAATCCTACAAAGATGATAAGCTAAAGAAGGAGGGAAAACTGAAAAATAAAGATCAATTGGTAGGAATAGCATTGATTTAAATTTTCTACTAACAAGAATAATCAAGTTGGTAGCTATTATTATAAAACCTACTCTAGGTAATATTAATATAAAAAGTATTGACACAACCAACATTTGCAGTTCTCAATATGTATGTTAAAATAAATTTGTCTATTAGTATTGCTGAAAATAATGTTAGTGGACTTTTTGCATTTTATCCTACCAATAAACATTGAAATATGTTAATTCAGTTTACAAAGTCTTGTGGAACTTTTGGTGCAATTAGATCTTCAAATTTAATTAACCAACATTCATTTTCATATCTTGTTAGCTTTTTAGCATTAAATAGAGAATTATTCATCTTTACTACAGTAGTCTTGTCATCTTCTTGAATTAGATCCATAAATGCTATTGGCTGGTGTCCCACATGACCAATTATGCCATAATATCTGTCATTAGTTGGAGTGATATTATCAAATGAAATGTCCAAATATTTTCCTGTCAAGTCTGTTTCTCTCCTAGAGATTTTAACATTAAGCCTATTACCAATAGTATTTTTTATATTTAAAAAGACATTATTTTGAATTATTGATATATGGAAAAATTTTCCATACTCTTCCAAATGATTAGCAGATTCCCAAATAATTTGTTTACCATTTTTAAAAATAATTTCATTAGTTTTGATATTAAAAATGATGAGTTGTTTTTGAACAATTTCAATTGAATGCATATAATAATCATTTAATAAAATGCCAAAAACTTTTGTACTAGTAAGTTTGTCTTCAAGTATAAAAATTTTATTTCCAGATTTGCCAGTTACGTCATAGCAAACTTTTTCAGTCTTATTTGTCCGTCTATCTAATATAGTTTGCATAAAATGTGGATCGCCATTTGCACCTTTTATCGTTAGAAAAAATGGTGTTTAGTCAACAGGAAAAATGATATAAATTTAGATTGTAAACAAACCATTTGGAGCATCAGGTGTTCCTACATCTCTTATTTCCCAACTTTCAGGGGAATCTGAACTATCTGCAATTCTAACAAATACTTTACCAGGTGAATATAATAAGTACTTGTTATCCCATTCATTTGCATTTGCAGTGAATACTGTTCCACTGGCACTTTCAGATGTTTTAAAAACTAAACTATCCCAATTCACTGATTCACCCTCTGTTAAAAAAAAACAGTGTGGATAATATGATACGTTTTTAGAGTAAGATCATTGCTGTTTTGCCTTACGTTTATATATAAGTATATATCTGCTAGCATCAGTACCAATATTAAGTGCAATAGAACCACCAGGGCTTCTCTTCCTTCTCTTTTTTGCTCCATTGATATCATATTTAACTATTCCATTTCCAGCAATTGATCCAGTCAGGATAGCTGATGATTCATATGTAGGCCCAGGCGAATAGGAAGCAAGTTTCACACTTTGCCCATCAAAGGTAAAAGGAGCAGAGTTCAAATTTCTAAGTTCAATGTAATTAAGATTCAGATCTAATTCATTAATAACAACTTGACATTGAAATCTCTCCAGACTTAAAACAAGGCATAAGATTGATAAGAAATGCAAAGATTTCATTTTAGTTTTAGTACACACAAAATTTTGAGAAATAATCTAGAAAAAATTGTTTTTTATAGCTTTTTCTGTTGGCCAAATATCAATGATATAAGGCCAAAGAGCGTAGGTTTTCTAAAATATTCAAAAGTGTCACTTGAAAAACTGAGAAATCTTTTGAGCACAGAATTTAAAATTCTATACACAGGAAATAAAAGAATAAAAGATCTTTTAGGCGGGACTGGTCAAAAACGGCCATAAATGAAATATTTGAAGGTCAGATTTCAGGCTGGGAAATGGTTAGGAGAATATGATAGCTATTGATACGTACTTAGGAGGGTCCTATCTAAGGGTTAGTGGCATTGAAAAAGTTTAGGCAAAAACAAGGGCTAGGTTAGGGTTACGGTAAAACCATAGATTTATGGCTGTTTTCTACCACATCCCTTTTAGGCACAAGGCACAGCTTTAACAGTTGTCAAAAAATGCAGTAAAAATGTATTTAATCAAAACAGGTAGGGACTCTTTTGGTTATTATTATCTTACAAATGTTACATTCTTATAATTAAGCTTATAGTTATCATTCCTTTGTCTACATTGTCATGTAAACTTTACCTTCAGGGGACGTTTTTGTGTCCATCCCTTCTTCAATCCTTCTTCGCATAATGAATAAGCTGAATTTCTCTAACTCTTTAAAAAGTTGAATACAATATTATAGTTCAATAAACCTAAATGTTTATTGAACTATAACTTGGCCAAACCTTAACTAGTAATAAAATATGAGCCCTCAAGGTGACTTATCAGACCTGTGTTTGGCCAATGTTACAAGGTTCAACATTTAGGTTTATTGAACTATAACTTGGCCAAACCTTAACTAGTAATAAAATATGAGCCCTCAAGGTGACTTATCAGACCTGTGTTTGGCCAATGTTATAGTTCAATAAACCTAAATGTTGAACCTTGTAACATCCTGTTACTAAACATAAATATGAACAAGGTTCAACATTTAGGTTTATTGAACTATAATATTGTATTCAACTTTTTAAAGAGTTAGAGAAATTCAGCTTATTCATTATGCGAAGAAGGATTGAAGAAGGGATGGACACAAAAACGTCCCCTGAAGGTAAAGTTTACATGACAATGTAGACAAAGGAATGATAACTATAAGCTTAATTATAAGAATGTAACATTTGTAAGATAATAATAACCAAAAGAGTCCCTACCTGTTTTGATTAAATACATTTTTACTGCATTTTTTGACAACTGTTAAAGCTGTGCCTTGTGCCTAAAAGGGATGTGGTAGAAAACAGCCATAAATCTATGGTTTTACCGTAACCCTAACCTAGCCCTTGTTTTTGCCTAAACTTTTTCAATGCCACTAACCCTTAGATAGGACCCTCCTAAGTACGTATCAATAGCTATCATATTCTCCTAACCATTTCCCAGCCTGAAATCTGACCTTCAAATATTTCATTTATGGCCGTTTTTGACCAGTCCCGCCTAAAAGATCTTTTATTCTTTTATTTCCTGTGTATAGAATTTTAAATTCTGTGCTCAAAAGATTTCTCAGTTTTTCAAGTGACACTTTTGAATATTTTAGAAAACCTACGCTCTTTGGCCTTATATCATTGATATTTGGCCAACAGAAAAAGCTATAAAAAACAATTTTTTCTAGATTATTTCTCAAAATTTTGTGTGTACTAAAACTAAAATGAAATCTTTGCATTTCTTATCAATCTTATGCCTTGTTTTAAGTCTGGAGAGATTTCAATGTCAAGTTGTTATTAATGAATTAGATCTGAATCTTAATTACATTGAACTTAGAAATTTGAACTCTGCTCCTTTTACCTTTGATGGGCAAAGTGTGAAACTTGCTTCCTATTCGCCTGGGCCTACATATGAATCATCAGCTATCCTGACTGGATCAATTGCTGGAAATGGAATAGTTAAATATGATATCAATGGAGCAAAAAAGAGAAGGAAGAGAAGCCCTGGTGGTTCTATTGCACTTAATATTGGTACTGATGCTAGCAGATATATACTTATATATAAACGTAAGGCAAAACAGCAATGATCTTACTCTAAAAACGTATCATATTATCCACACTGTTTTTTTTTAACAGAGGGTGAATCAGTGAATTGGGATAGTTTAGTTTTTAAAACATCTGAAAGTGCCAGTGGAACAGTATTCACTGCAAATGCAAATGAATGGGATAACAAGTACTTATTATATTCACCTGGTAAAGTATTTGTTAGAATTGCAGATAGTTCAGATTCCCCTGAAAGTTGGGAAATAAGAGATGTAGGAACACCTGATGCTCCAAATGGTTTGTTTACAATCTAAATTTATATCATTTTTCCTGTTGACTAAACACCATTTTTTCTAACGATAAAAGGTGCAAATGGCGATCCACATTTTATGCAAACTATATTAGATAGACGGACAAATAAGACTGAAAAAGTTTGCTATGACGTAACTGGCAAATCTGGAAATAAAATTTTTATACTTGAAGACAAACTTACTAGTACAAAAGTTTTTGGCATTTTATTAAATGATTATTATATGCATTCAATTGAAATTGTTCAAAAACAACTCATCATTTTTAATATCAAAACTAATGAAATTATTTTAAAAATGGTAAACAAATTATTTGGGAATCTGCTAATCATTTGGAAGAGTATGGAAAATTTTTCCATATATCAATAATTCAAAATAATGTCTTTTTAAATATAAAAAATACTATTGGTAATAGGCTTAATGTTAAAATCTCTAGGAGAGAAACAGACTTGACAGGAAAATATTTGGACATTTCATTTGATAATATCACTCCAACTAATGACAGATATTATGGCATAATTGGTCATGTGGGACACCAGCCAATAGCATTTATGGATCTAATTCAAGAAGATGACAAGACTACTGTAGTAAAGATGAATAATTCTCTATTTAATGCTAAAAAGCTAACAAGATATGAAAATGAATGTTGGTTAATTAAATTTGAAGATCTAATTGCACCAAAAGTTCCACAAGACTTTGTAAACTGAATTAACATATTTCAATGTTTATTGGTAGGATAAAATGCAAAAAGTCCACTAACATTATTTTCAGCAATACTAATAGACAAATTTATTTTAACATACATATTGAGAACTGCAAATGTTGGTTGTGTCAATACTTTTTATATTAATATTACCTAGAGTAGGTTTTATAATAATAGCTACCAACTTGATTATTCTTGTTAGTAGAAAATTTAAATCAATGCTATTCCTACCAATTGATCTTTATTTTTCAGTTTTCCCTCCTTCTTTAGCTTATCATCTTTGTAGGATTCTGTTAACACTTTCTCTATTTTTTACACTATATCAGTGATTTCAACTGTCACACTTCTAAATTTAATATTGTCAATTTCTATTGATGACTCAGTCTGTGCTTTCAATTCTTTTGAGTGGGCAGGCTAGGCTCATTCAAGATTTCTTGAGAATTGTGGTTTAGAGGTTGATTCTTATATTTTTTTTCTGCTTAAAGTTGAATGATTCAAAAACTATCAATAAAGAGGCAGATTTTTGCTTCTATTGCACAATCTAAAAATAAAAATACTCCTTTTAACTTTAAATTTCACTAATGAGCTGGAAAGGATTAGCATTGCTGATTTAAATGATCCATAAGGTAAATAAAAAGGGGAATGGGTGAAACTGTACCTGAGTGAAATCGTACCCTGCACCAATTTTACTAATACAATGTGTTAAAGTTTAAGGTATATAGTGGTGAACTAAAAAGCCTGGACAATGTAAATTTTGATAGGCAAATTTTTAAATCACCCCAAAAACATGTTTTTTTGTTCGAAATTAGTTTTTTTAGGCAATTTACATTGATAAAAGGTTATATTTATGTAATATTGAAAAAAAATGACAAAATGATCATATTTGTGAATACTAATAGGAAAAAAACTTTTACTAATTTTAATTAATTTTTTATTTATTTGTCCATGAGACATTATTAACCACACATCCATTTTGTTTCCAGTTTTGGATTCAAATTAACATCCTAAACAGAAATTTTTTTGACCAAACTAATTTTCAAAGTTAAGAAATCACTTTTGATCTATTTTAATTACTGTAGTTAACTTTAAATTCTATTTACTTAATTATGGCATAGGGTAAAGAGGTTAGGAATCTGGTCATTAAGAAATATGAGGAATTAGGCAAAATAAGGGCAACTGCAAGGGCTTTGGGAATGGCACCATCTACCATTAGTGACACTTGAGAGATCAGCCACTACAACAAGAGAACAGGGGTTGTACAAAGAAGCTAACAGAAAGAGACAGTCAGGATAAAAAGAATAGTAAAGAGACTTAAGCGAAATAAAAAAAAGGGTGACAGCAGGAAAGGTCTTAGCAGAATTAGAGGTGGATGTGAGTCTCAAGATCATTCAGAGAGAGCTGAAGAGGCAAAATTATAATTATAAAAAGGATTAGACAGAGAGTTGATCTCACACCTAAGAATTGCACAAGAAGAAAAGAATATTGCTTCAAAACAATTGCTGAAAATCTGGACTGGTCAAGAGTGATTTTCATGGACAAGACCAGATTCTCTCTGAGTGGGCCTGATGATTTCAGGACATGGACAAAAGATGGTGGAAAAAAATTTTAGAGTCACTAAAAATATGAGAAGAGTGATGATGTGGGGATTAATAACCTCAGATGGGGTATTTGAAGTTTGGAGGATAAGTCAAAAATTGACTGCCTAAAATTATAGCTGTTTTGTTGTGGAAGATGTTCTTCCTGTCATTGAAGAGATATCACTCAATATGGGCAGGAATTACATCTTCCAACAAGATAATGCAGTCTGCCACACAGCAAGAGCAACTAGGAGGGCCTTTAGAGTGAATGATATCAATCCAATTGATTGGCCAGCAAAGAGCCCTGACCTTAGCCCTATAGAAAATATGTGGCACCTAACAAAAAATTTAGATTACAATGGGGCACACTTTCAATCTGGGGATGAACTGTGGGAGAAAATAAAAAAAGGTTCATACCAGGCTATTGGTCAAAATCCTGACTTGCTACCAAATTTTTATGCAGGGATGGGAGGTAGGATTAGTAAATGTACTGTAAATGAGGGTTGTCATATTAAAAAATAATAAAAATATTAATCCCCAAACCATCATCTGTCCAAGTAATAATGTCTCATGCCCAAATAAGAAAAAAATCATCAAAAATGGATAATAAGAAAACAAAAACACTTATATGAAAACTTATCTAAATGATATTTAAAGAAACTCATGTATATATCAAACTTTAAACTAATATTTTATACCTGAAAAATAAAAAAAAAATCTTGTTTGCTGGTGAAAAAGATTTATAATGTTCAGCCTATCAAAATTTATGGTGTCTGGGTTTTTTTGTCGACCATTATATACCAGTAAATATTGCAGTAATAATAAGTAATGACATACAGAAATGATAAAGGGGTAATTGAAAAATGGTTGGGTTTTAAAACATATAGACATAACGAATTTTGAAAGCAATGTAAAGATAATTTGGCTCGCTACCAAATTTAGGCTATGTACCCATCAACTACACTGGCCCAGGAAAGAACAAGAGAATGAGTATCATTCAACAGATAGGGAATTATATCTCTGACGTCTCTCTCTATTGTACTGTGACCAGTGTAAATCTGATATGACCAGTCAGATATTTTTTTGGGTTATTTCTCCTAATTTGAATCTATATATTGATCTGTGATCTAGATATAGAATGGTGTCTCCTGAATGTAGCTTGGGTTTAAATTGATTGTTTTGCCATTTTGTTCTCTTATGAATGCTGTTAAACAGCTGGGTGCAACATTTGTTGTTCAATTTCTCACATTCTTGTTTGACAATGGTTGGATCTTACTCTCCATCTTTACATCTTTTTAGAACACTAGAAATTCCTGTTGTTGCGTAAAGGAGGTGCAATTTCTTGGCCAGGTTTGCCCAAATAGCCCTTAAAGATGCATGTTTCTTTTCATGGTAAATAAAATATATCAACTTGAGGATAATAGGGTTACGAGTATCAATGATGATCTTCTTTCTTTCAGTTGTCTCATCCAGTCTTCCTATTGTCACATAGATCCCATTTTTGTCCTCCAAAATATATTGTCCTTTATACAATCGTAATTCTGTGCTTTGATCTCTCTTGTGTTCAACTCATGGTCCTTTACTCTGTCACATGGTCGGGATTGAATATTTGATTTGAATCTTAGAAGCCAGGGCAGGGTCTGTCTCTTTCTTCCCCAGTCTCCCAATATTTCAAATGTGGATTCCACTGCACACATATTGATTGTGACTTTTGGCATGTCACATTTAACTTGTATTACTTTAAATGTATCCCCCTTTTCTTTCATCCTCTTCCTTGATTTCGTCAGCAAATCTGCGGGATTATCTTCTGAGCTGGTTAGATACCAG